GTTATCGACTTGAACCCAAAGATCCTTCTGTACATGATGCAGAGTGACGCCAACAGTGCAAGTCCAATTCCCGTACCAGTTTAGATTACCAGGAAGGTCCCATGCCTTCTTATCCTTGTCTCTCTCCTGAGGCAAGATGACCCTCAGGTTAAAAACTTACCAAAAGTCATCTCTCTCAAACAAGAGAGCAACCCTGAGGGGTCTTGTTGTGCAGCGGTATTATTTCTACCTCTGAGCCAGGAGGCCTGGGTTCAAGTTCCACTTGCTCCAGAAGTGTGGAGTAACATCTCTGAACAGGGTGATTAGAAAATGCCTAGAAACAAGTATTTGCTGTACCAGGGGCTATTTAAGCTGTAAAAGTTTATTTTAAGTAAAAAAGACTAGAAAGGAGGATTGGTAGGACTAATGTTACTTTGATTTGATAAGTTTCTGGTCTATTTCTGCAAGCTTCCATTAACCATTTGATTTTGTTTCTGTCAAAGGCCTACCAGGGGCTGTCCAGCCTGAAGTTTGATATTTTAAGAGTATAAAGAAGGATTTGCCTCACTGGAGGCTGTCAGTCTGTTAAAGCTTAGAAAATAGCAAAAAAAAAAAACAGGCTTGGTGACAGCACTCTACTTTGACTGTAGCCAGTACTGGTTGGGTCCACAATACACAGTTGTAATTGGTCCTGTTGAGCTCAAATGGATTGCACCATCTTAAGAAGAATACGTGTGAGCAGTCACCATATTGTTTAAATGAAAGTGCTGTGTCTAAAGCACGTCAGTCAGACACCCTCTCTGAATTATAATTCATATGCACAAGCCTGCTATCCCATGAATTTAACTCCCTGAGGACCACTTTCAGTCAATAATAACTCACAATCACTAACACAAACTCCCAACTTTTCTGACACGCCCTTACCCGGTAATATAATCAAAAATCCTGAAACATAACAAAGGGATAACAATACAAGTGGTTTTCAATTTCTTGGGACCTTTGCAAAAACAGCCTTCCTCAGTGTAATGACTTATCCATCTAGATCGATGGAATCAACTTAGCAAGTTAGCTATGGAATGAAAGCAAACAATGTTAAATACAAGGATGGGGTATAACACAATTACTTCATTGTGGCCTTTACTGCTGGGAATCTGCTGTCTGGAACAGGCCAGTTGTATCAAACACATTCACCATGCTGTGAGAAAATTAGACAATAACAATGGCATTTATTTTCAAATCCGCTTGATTGTGATCAAAATGTTAATGTTTCTTTCTTAATTTTTTTCAGTAAACATCAATACTGCAGTGCAGGGAAAATCTGCAGAGCTTGCTGACACTTAGGAACTGATTAATCAGAATCAGGAATACGCTATTCAGCCCTTATGCCTGCTCCACCACTCGATAAGATCACGGCTGATCTAATTGTAACTTCAAATCCATGTGCCCACCTACTCCAGTTAACCTTTCATCTCTTTGCTTAACAAGAATCTATTTCTGCCTTAAAAATATTCAAGTATTCAGCTTCCACAATCTTTTCAGGAAGAGTTTCAAAGACTCATGATCTTATCCCCTGAGTTTTAAGCTGTGTCCCTGGTTCCGTTTCCTCCCTACACCTATCCTGTGAAGGCCCGTTAGGATTTTACATGTTCCTATCAAGTTGTCTTTTACTGTCCTAAACTCCAGTAGATATCAGCCTAGCCTGTCCACCTTTACTCATAAGCCAAACTCTCATTCCGGATATTAGTCTACTACAAAAGCAATAATTGCAGGAGAAACGCAGCAGGTCTAGCAGCATCTGTGGAGACAAAGCAGAGTTAATGTTGTGTCTAGTTACCCTTCTTCAGAGTGGAGTCTAATAAACCGTATCTGAACTGCCTCCAATGCATTTACATCCTTTCACAAGTAAGTTTTGTTTGGGGCAGCAAGGTGGCACAGTGGTTAGCACTGCTGCCTCACAGCACCAGGGACCTGGGTTCAATTCCACCCTCGGGCGACTGTCTGTGTGGAGTTTGCACATTCTCCCAGTGTCTGCGTAGGTTTCCTCTGGGTGCTCCAGTTTCCTCCCACAGTCCAAAGATGTGCAAGCTAGGTGGATTGGCCATGCTAAATTGCTATAGTGTTCAGGGATGTGTAGATTAGGTGGGTTATAGGGGAATGGGTTTGGGTGGGTGTTCTGAGGGTTGGTGTGGACTTATTGGGCTGAAGGGCCTGTTTCCACTCTGTAGGGATTCTATTCTATGATTCTAAATTGGCTAATACTGTGCAATCTCTGATACAATCTCCAAAGTCCCATATAATTGAAGCATAACCTCCCTACCTTTGAATTCAATTCCCTTCATGATAAATAGTAACATTCTATTAGCTTCCCTAATGACTTGTACCTGCATACTTTTTGTGTGATTCATGAGAACATCCAGATAGTTTGCACCTCAGAGCTCTGTAATCTCACCTTGTAGATAACATGCTTATTTTGTATTCTTATTGCCAAAATAGATAAATTTACATTTTCGAATATTTTAGTCCAGTTGCCACAACTTAACCTATTAATACCTTTTAGTAACCTCCCTGTGTTCTCTCTTCATAGTTTAGTTTCCTGCCTATCTTTGTCTCATTAGCAAATTTGGCAACTTTATCTCCACCCGCAGGGCTCTTGGGCCACAGTGGCAGTGTCCCTATTTCTGGATAAAGGGGCTTAGCTTCAAATCTCACCTAATCCATAGGTGTCATAACATCTTTGAGCAGGTTGATTAAAATATCTCCCTTCCATCCCTTCATCCAAGTCATTTATATAAATTGTAAATAATTGTGGTCCCAGCACCAACATGCATCACACCATGTGTTGCATCTTGCCAATTTGAAGACCAATTTACACCTACTAACTCCTTCCTGTTAACCTGCTAATCTTCTTTCTATAGCAATATGCTAGTCCCTGCACCATGAGCTTTTATTTTCCTCAATAACCTTTGATGTGGCACATCATCAAACGCCTTCGGCAAGTCTAAGTACAATACATCTACAGATTCTCCTTCATCCATAGCATGGGCTACCTCCTCAAAAGAACTCCAACAGATTGGTCAAACATGATTTTCATTTCAGAAAACCATGTTGACTCTGCCTGGTTATCATGGAACTTATGAGTGCCCCGCTTTAACGTCTTTAATAATAGCTACTAATATTTTCCCTATGATAGATAACAAAGCTGTAGGGTTCTACTTTCTGTCTCCCTCTCTTTTTGAATAAAGGAGTTAAATTTGCTATCTCCCAATCTTATATGGTACTCAAGACTGCAACTGTTGTAATCATTGGATTTATCCTCAATCTTTTGACTTTGCAAAATAGGACTTTATCATTATAAACAACATATTCAGATCCACTTGAAAGAATACTTCAAGTGTTTTCCTGGGTCATAAATCTTGCTGACACAAAATGAATGAGCGTATAGAAAACTACAAAATGAATTAAATCCAAAAATGTAATTCACAGACAAAAAAAAAATCTTCTTCCTGCCCAATAGTTCCCAAAGGGAGGTACCCTGCTCAATGAGAAACTAAGTCATACACTGCAGAGATAGTAGGAACTGCAGATGCTGGAGAATCCGAGACAACAAGGTGCAGGGCTGGATGAACACAGCAGGCCAAGCAGCATCATAGGAGCAGAGAGGCTGACGTTTCGGGCCTAGACCCTTCATCAGAAAAGGGGGAGGGGAAGGGGGTTTTGAAATAAATAGGGAGAGAGTGGGAGGCGGATAGAAGAGGGATAGAGGAGAGGATAGGTGGAGAAGAAACAAACAGGTCGAAGAGGCGGGGATGGGGCCAGGAAAGGTGAGTGTAGGTGGGGAGTTAGGAAGGGGATAGGTCAGTCCAGGGAGGACGGACAGGTCAAGGGGGTGGGATGAGGTTGGTCGGTAGGAGATGGAGGTGCGGCTTGGGG